GCTGCTGCAGCATGTCACAAAACTAAAATGTCCTCTTCAAATATATCCAATCAAGATATAATGTTCTCTTTCCCACTGATGGCTCATTCTTCTGTGCTGCACAAGGGAACACTGCTAGTTTTTCAACTTCTCTGCAAGATGAGGAAAAGAAAACATGATTAGAGGAACACTGAACAAAGTTCCCTTTCATTTAGCAGTCTAACAGCAAACAAAATACAGTGTTATGTTCTTTTTATAGCAACAGAAAAATAACGCCCTCTTTTACCAATTTTCAACATCTAGAAATATAGTTTGTAAACAGGTAGCCGTCTGGTTTTAAAATTCTCAATTTCTACCTGCATTTTGTCATCCACTGTTGTAATATCAAACTTCAACAAATCTACTTCGCTTTTTAAGATATTTATAAAGGCAGTCACATGGGTATCTAAGATCGAGGTAAGTGTGGGTGAACAGTCACGCTCAATACTATTGCTTAATAGTACTGGCAAGCAGTGGAGAAACAAAAGAAGCTATGTTCATGACCAATATTTCTTTCTCTACTTCCCAAAATTTTCCACACACTGCATAATTCTAGGAAGCTGTCATAGTTCTACCAAGACTACACTGCCTCCATACTGTAATCAGAATCAAGCAAGGTCCTACTACAGAAGATGTAGATGAAATACTGAAATGATTGATAATTCCTACACTGAAGCATTACCAGCCCTATAAAGCTATACATTTCTCCTCTGATGCAGCTCTTAAAGCATTATTAAATCACATTTACTTAACCAATTTGCACTACACCTTTCAATTGTTGCAACATGTTATATTTGAGGTTTACAGTAAAGTGTGGATGTCAAATCCCATTTAATTAGTTGCTTCTGGCCCCCCTTCCCTCCCTGCGATGCAAGGCTGTAGGCTCCTAGCACAGGCTGGGAGGAGGCAGCGCTTTCCCCCAGCTCCACATGAGGCTGCAGACTCCCAGTGCAGGCTGAGAGCCTGCAGGCTTCCAGGTAATGGTGAACCGTCATCTGGTAAGCATCTCTCAGTAAGGGTGATGCTTACCAGATAACCAGTAACCTGTTCACACCTACTGTAAACTGAACCTAACGAAACATGATATGCAATGTTTCCATTCGCTCAAAAAAAGAACTATTTCAGTGAAATGTTATTGCACAGACCAGACTCATAAGTGTGCAGCACAGTAAAGTTAAGAAGTGATAAGTCTCTGAGAGAGAGCTGAATATTTAGCATAATCGTAGAACATATATCATTGATAACAGCAGATTGTAAAAGTTTAGATGGCTTTCCAGTTAACATGCTTGAGTAATAAAATCACCATACTAAAATTATTTTCTAGCTACAGCTGAGTATGGGACTTTAGAAATTGTTCTTATGGGACTTTTTAGAAATTTAGACATATTGCCAAGATCAACAGGCCTCAACATTAGTCCTCACATACTTTCAAAAGTAAAGGCTTTTTTCAGAGTCTCTTTGGCCATCCCCCATCTCCTCCGCTCATTAGCTTCCAAAAAAGAAGAGCTGTAATAGTTTTAAAATTCTAGCTCCTCCTTAAGCAACTCAACAGACAAGATGTAGAGCTTACTGTGACCAAAGGGTGTGGTGTTTGATCCACCACTTTTCAGAAGCTGGCACTGTACTACTGCTGCATCTCATTTAAAGAAGCTTCTTGTCTAAGTGGACAAGATTCCTTTCTGACAGTGGATTCCAGAGTCCCAGGGCATACTCTTTTTAAAAGGATGCATTCAGAATTGAAAGACCTGACTTATTTTCCTTTTCCTCACTTAACTATGAATATGGGCTATGATGTGTAATTATGCCTAAAAATAATCTAGTGAGGATAATTATAAGGTTAAGATAATGCTGCTTTTAACTGCTGTATACCTTTAAGATGAATCAGTCTTAAAAGCCATCTTCCAGCGTACCCCAGTTTCCAGGGAGCTAGCTACCGCCCTGTACTGTGGACTCTGTAGTATAAAGCTTATACTGCAGAGCCTGCAGTGCAGCCAGCTCCTCGGGAGTGGGACCAGCCAGCTCTGCTTCTGAGGAGCTGGCTGTGCTGCAGGCTCTGCAGTAAAAGACTTCTATTCAGGTGACTTGCATCCCACACCTGCTGCTATTAAAGGGAAAGATGCTAGGATTCCTACCAAGGTGATGTCCATGCACTCGTCTGGGGTTCCATCTTTTGAAGTGTCTTGCTAGTAGGTGTCTCCTGCACCCTTCAAAGACCCTCTGGCTGTTGCAAGAATGATAGTGGTGTTTTCCCAACAAACCCACTATACTTCTGAATCTGATTTTTTTGCACCTTCCTCTACTGCTCAGAGCTTTTCCCAAATTGAAACAGAAGGAAATTGACTGTCCTTGTCAGCTGAATTGCTATCCACAAAATTCTCTATATCAGCAGTGAAGACTGGGAAGTCTCTGGTCAGTTTTTGCTTGGATGATGCTTTGGAGATCTGAACAGCAACAGAGGAACTAAACCTGCAGATTTTGAAAGACAGTGCTTTCCATTTATATTTTGTTTATATTTGAAAGGTGATGTTCATGGTCATAAGGATAAGAAATTTATTTCCAGACAGAAGCTTAGATTCTGCAAAAGCAGAAGCAGGAAAGCTTCCCGCATAACAAAGGCTAGTGGATTTTTAAAGCCCTATGTTAGAATAGTACTGCCAATCTTGCAAGTACTATACCACTACACAGAATACTCTGAAATAATTCATGCAATTAAGACATTAATTCATTAAATTAAGATTTTTCTCATATGCTTTAAACCTCAAAATGTTTGCTCCGTTATACCAGCCATAAGGAAGATAAGATCTGATCAGGCACTGTTTTGTTGAAAAATCAAGACATAATGAGTAAATAGGATATAAAATCCACATTCAGTAACTTGTCAATAAAAAAAAAAGTCAAACAATATCCTGCTGGAATAGCACCAATGATTAAAACTCAGGAAGCATTTATAAAAATGAAAATTAATGCTAGGTAACAAATTTTCAGATGGGAATTTCGTTAGAATTACCAGATATTACTACTATAGCTAAAATTAGAAGCAAAACTTTTCACTTTGTCTTTTTTGTGCATTTGACAGCACATTCTGACAGTTTCACTGTTTCCCCACATATAAATCAGTCACTTTCCCATTCCAGCATGAACTCTTTCAAAAAACAAAAGGTAATTTTTTTTAGAAGTTATGATATTAGATTTCAGTAAAAGTCCTTTTATACCTTCCATGATCAATTAATAAAATGGGCTGATGTTTAGTTAACAGATATATACATTCACTATTGTATCACAAGGGAGAAAACAGTATAAAATACTCACTTTTAAAAAATTCAAAACTGAAGACCTATTCAAAATAAAAATGTCCATCTTCATTTAAATACTTACTCTGCTACAACAAGAACCTTAATTCGAAACTCTAGTTAGGACTCCTATGTAACAGGATTTCTAATTTCACAGGATCATTAAGTATGTAGACCTGGAAAGGTCCTCAAGAAGTCATCAGGTCTAGACCCCTGTAATCAGGCAGGACCAAACCAAGCCTAGAAACACATGGGGCTCATCTACATTGGCCCCTCTTCCGGAAGGGGCATGGTAATTTTTGAAATCGTAATAGGGAAATGCGCGGGGGATTTAAATATCCCCCGCGGCATTTAAATAAAAATGTCCGCCGCTTTTTTCCGGCTTTTAGAAAAGCCGGAAAAGAGCGTCTACACTGGCCCCGATCCTCCAGAAAAAGCGCCCTTTTCTGGAGGATCTTATTCCTACTTTGAAGCATTTCCCTATTGCGATCTCTGAAATTAACATGCCCCTTCCGGAAAAGGGGCCAGTGTAGACGTAGCCCCTGACAGTTTGTTCAACCTGTTCATAAAAACATCTAATAGAATTTTCCTTGGAATTTCCCTATTCCCAAACTTAACTGCCTTAAAAGTAGAATTTTTTTTCTAAATATCTAATCTAACTGCTTTTTTGCAGATAAAGTCCACTACTTCTTTGGAACATGGAGAACAAATGATCACAGCCCTCTTTAGAACAGCCCTAAACATAGTTGAAGATTATTTCCAACAAAGAATAAACAAATGCCAAATTTTATAGTCCTATTATGACTTATTTGTAAAATATTTAGTCATTGGTTCACCACTCATAACCAAACCAGCATAATATTCATTAGTTCCAATGGGTATTTTACCATTGATGTCTGTGGAAGCACGTTTGGGTTCCAAATTACCCTATTACTGTGTAGAGACAGGTGCTAGATACAGCAATACCACTGACTAAAATGCATAGCAGAGAAAGAAAGCCAGCTTAACTGAATCCTACTCTACCTCCAATTCTAGAAGTCAATTGTTTCTGTATGCTTTGAAAATTCTGCAGTTCCATCTTGGCAACTGACATTTCAATTACAGCTAAATTGATGCTGCATAATTTGAAGATGCAAGTTAAACCATATTTCATCAATTGACACATTAAGTAAAAAAAGCAGTTTCCTTTACTCAGCACAGATTCTGCACCATATCAACTGAGTCAAAGTAGCATTTTTTATTTCTTACAACTACTCTGATTGTTAGCAGTTTAGTTCTGTCCAACAAACTGTAGGTTAAATTGCTCCAAAAGTTGTACATAAAGTCAGATTTACTATCATTTTGACTAAATGAATATTCAGGTTTCACTGTTAATTCAATACTATCTGACAAATGCTCCATCTCAATAATCCATTTTAAAGAGTAGTTCCAAAGACTAGTTTTAAACAGTCAACTATCAACACTTTACTGCTGCCTCAGTGTGCATTTTCAAACTACAGTATTTCCTTTAAGATATCAAATTTGAGAAGCACAAAAATAAGTTCTGTATCTTATTCCTTCTAACAATTACTACATATTCTGGAATGTACTCTACCAGACAAGTAAATAAAATAAACTACAATTTACAGTCTACAGGATAAGACAATTATCATACAATTCAGTAAAAGAGTTAACACATTTAATTCTCTTTATTGTGAGCTACAGGCTTTCAATTTCTTGGATCATACAAATATAGGTTGCTTTTAAGATTAAAATTATATTTACCCGATAGCCCTAGTAGTCTATTAATTTCAGTGGAAAGGCTATTTATCTATTCATTGTACCAGAAAACTGGGCCACTGGTCTATCTTCACCTTCCATTTAAACACACAGGCTACGTCTACACTGGCCACAATTTCCGGAAAAGCCACGCAAATCAGGTAAGTCAGGATAGGGAAATCCGCGGGGGATTTAAATATCCCCCGCGGATTTAAATAAACATGTCCGCTGCTTTTTTTCCGGCTTGGGGAAAAGCCGGAAAAAAAGCATCTAGACTGGCGTGATCCTCCGGAATAAAGCCCTTTTCCGGTGGATCTCTTATTCCTACTTCGAAGTAGGAATAAGAGATCCACCGGAAAAGGGCTTTATTCCGGAGGATCGCGCCAGTCTAGACGCTTTTTTTCCGGCTTTTCCCCAAGCCGGAAAAAAAGCGGCGGACATGTTTATTTAAATCCGCGGGGGATATTTAAATCCCCCGCGGATTTCCCTATCCTGACTTACCTGATTTGCGTGGCTTTTCCGGAAATTGTGGCCAGTGTAGACGTAGCCACAAAGTGTTGCAAGGAAATCCAAGGGCCCAACTGTCAGTTACCTCCACCTCCTCTCTCCCCTTCCCCCCCAAAAAAAATCACTAAAAGTGTGAGCACTTTTTTAGACCTCAAGTACCTTAAACATTTCTGATGTAATTTACCATTTGATAACAGGGTATACAAAATACTGTACATTTAAAACATTAAAATTAGGGATGTGCAATATAATTGTTTAAACAGGTATTTGATAAGCATGAGCTTATTGTTACTGTAACAGTTACATGCCAGCTCCTGTGGAGCTGGCTGTCACCATGCACTGCTGGCTCCCAGTGTGCTCTTAAAAGGCGGTTCCCGAGCACAGTGGCTCCTGAGCACATCCCGGCCCCACTCCCAGGAAGCCAGCTGCCACCCTGCGCTGCAGGCTCTGAACGAGCAACACACGGTGGCAGCGGGGCTGGGAGCTGGCATGTAACTGTTACGGTAACAATAAGCTCATATTTATCAGTTAATAAACAGTTATACTGTTACATCCTTAACTAAGAATTGACATGCAAATATATCTCCAATAACTCTTCAAAATATCCAACAACAGAAGAAACTGTGGAAAACACTACAAATATGTCGAACAAAATAGTCAAACAAAACAACCATGTGTGAAGGTATTAAAAGAAATTTGAATGTAAGACTTCATATAAAATGTCAAATATTTGATATTACTTATACTTAAGCTTAGAAATATAATATGTATATTAGTAAATGTTGGTAAACATCAATTTCATTTACACCTAAACCCAAGAAAAAATATGTCCATCAATGAAAATGAAAATTTACATGAAGACAGAAGAAAAATACTGCTTATTAAAGCTTGACTGGAAGACAGGTAGTTTGTATGTTTTGATATGTGATGCTGACAATTTGTGTTTCACCTTCTTGAATCACAACATCCACTGTCAATAAGAGGTGGCCAAACAATCAATTATTTCCCACAACCGTGAACATTTAAGTCAATAAAAAATATGCATAGCAACAGACCTCTGGGCAAACCATACAAAAACGCTACGAAGCCTATTTTCATCACAGCCCACTTTGGGCTGCCGACCTCCCAAGGGACACCCCCGAGCGCGATCCAACCCTTTGGATGAGTTACAAATCTGCTAAGTTTGCCGGTTTATTTTTAAGAAAACAAAAATGTTGAGCCGGGCCAAGTTTCCCCGATCCGAGGCGCTGCCCCTCCCCAGCAGGTCAGGCTGGTCCCTATCGCGGGCTGAGCTCGGGGGAAGGAATAAATAAGCACAGTCCCAGC